ATACACTCAACATATTTCTTTACATATCAATTTAGTAAGACATTAATTAAATTAATATAAGTAGTATTTTCATTTTAACTTTTCCAGAATAATTATGAAATAACAAATACACATTTCAAGTAATTGTGATATATGTATCTCAAAAATTTAAAATGAACTGAGTTCAAGTAATTTATATCTCTAGTCTTCAAAATTTATTGTTATATATGTATCTCGAAAAAAATTAAAAAAAATGTTATTTTCTTTTTACTTTTTTCATTTTTAATAAAAAATAAAAAATAAGTTCATGTCATATTCGTTTATTTTTGGAGGCTTCACGAATTTAAAATTTATGTTTCGTGTTGTTAAGGGCTCAAGAAGACTCCAATAGTTAAAATTTCATATTTTGTTTACGCTTTTTATATGTAAAATTGGTATCATATGAAGGTCATATATATTTTTGAAAAAAATTTGAGAACAAATCGAAAAGTTATTGAAGTTAAAAAAATTGGGGTCCTAGGACGCAAGGATGATGTTAGCATGATGTCATCCAACACCAAACTTGTGCCCCAATCGTCCCCCCCTTTTTTTTCCTTTTGCCACTTTGACCCACATACCCACCCCACCTCATTTTCTACTTTTAAGACCTCTTAATCTCACACTACATACAATCAGAAGTCTGAAAGCCCCACAAATCCACAATTAGCTTTTTGGGTTTCTAATAACTCCCCACTACAAATCTAAGGTCTAATGAAGCTTTTTTTTTCATCTCCTCTTCTCTTCTGTTGTGCATTAGTTTGTAACCATGCACTCTTTAAAGTTTAAACTCTATTCGCACAAATGCACTTCTTAAACGCAAAAGCATTTATTGATCGAGACTTAACTTTTAAATACTTGACCGTTCGAAAAAGGGACCATGACAAATTGAGGGAAAGTATTTTCCTTGATTCCAAAATAAGTTGTATGTACGCTTTAAATACAAGTCTAACTAACCTTAAGCCCATAATAAACAAGTTAACCGTACAAACTAATAATGGGCTTAAAGTGCTAAATGATTTTATACAAATAAATACATATAATAATTTCGCTCCTCGTAGTCGGCGGTGTGTGTTTGTTGGCTACCCAAATGGGCAAAAAGGATGGAGGTTGTACGATCTTGATACCGACACATATTTTGTCTCACGTGATGTCGTGTTTCATGAGAATAGCTTTCCCTATGAACACAACTCGTCTTGCTCACAACCTGTCCAGAATTTAGACCCAAATGCACATGTGCAAGTATTGATCGACGATGATGATCCTGTTCTACCTCCTGAGGAACCCATTGCGCCAATTTCTTCTCAGCAAGCCTCCAGTACTAATGACTCTGTCTCACCTCAGCAAGCTACTGGAGCTTCGGATACTATTACTGAGCTCGGTCGTGGGCAGCGGGTTAAACGCCCATCGGTTTTGCTTCAAGACTATATTCTCAACACTGTCCGGAAATTGAGTTCATCTCCTCACCACCCTGCTCCGGATCATTCCTCAGGTACGCCCCACTCTATTACACATTTTGTGAATTATCATAATTTCTCTATTCCGAATCGCATTTTTTTGGCAGCAGTTCAGTCAGGTCAAGAACCCAAGTCCTTTCGCCAAGCCATGTCTCATGAGGGGTGGCAAGCAGCCATGCAGGCCGAAATCGCTGCTTTAGAAACTAATGGCACGTGGGTTATGACGACTCTTCCCGTCGGTAAGAAAGCTTTCGGGTGCAAATGGGTTTACCGGATCAAGTACCATGCGGATGGCTCGGTGGAGCGCTTAAAGGCTCGGCTAGTAGTTCTTGGAAATCATCAAGTTGAGGGACTTGATTATAACGAGACTTTCGCTCCAATGGCTAAAATGGTGATTGTTCGCACTTTTCTTGCGGTTGCCGCGGCTAAAAATTGGGAGCTTCATCAAATAGATGTCCATAATGCTTTTCTTCATGGAGATTTGGCTGAAGAGGTGTATATGAAGTTGCCTCCCGGTTTTTATGTCGGTCACCCTGATATGGTTTGTCGGTTGAAAAAGTCTTTGTATGGGCTTCGCCAAGCGCCTCGTTGTTGGTTTGCTAAACTTGCTGCCTCTCTACTTCGGTACGGGTTTCTCCAGTCATATTCTGATTACTCTCTTTTCACCTTTCGTGATGGGCCAATTTCACTTCATGTTCTTGTTTATGTTGAAGATTTAATTGTCTCTGGTAATAATTCTTCTGCAATCGCCAAGTTTAAGCACTATTTGGGTGAGTGCTTTCACATGAAAGACTTGGGTACTTTGAAGTATTTTTTGGGTATTGAAGTTGCTCGTAGTGCGGCAGGCATATTTTTGTGTCAACGAAAATACACCCTTGATATTCTCTCTAAGACCGGCTTGTTGGGAAGTAAACCGCCAGCTTTCCCATTGAGCAAAACCACTCACTTGCTCTTGCTGCGGGCCCTTTCCTATCGGATCCAAAACGTTATCGTCGATTAGTTGGCCGACTTATTTACCTCTCATTTACTCGCCCCGACTTAGCCTACACAGTACATGTCTTGGCCCAATTTATGCACACTCCTCGTCATGATCACTGGGAGGCTGCCTTACGCTGTGTACACTATCTGAAGGGAAGTCCTGGTCAAGGTATACTCCTTTCTTCGGTAGCTAATTTCTCCTTAACAGGTTGGTGTGACTCGGATTGGGCTAGTTGTCCTTTGACTCGTCATTCTTTAACCGATTGGCTTGTTTTTCTTGGTTCTTCTCCCATTTCATGGAAAACAAAGAAACAACATACTGTCTCTTGTTCTTCGGCCGAGGCAGAGTACCGTTCCATGGCAGCTAATACTTCTGAACTCATATGGCTAAAATCTTTGCTTCATAGTCTTGGTGTTGATCATTCAGATGTTGTTCCTCTATTTTGTGATAGCAAGTCTGCCTTACATATTACACAGAATCCAGTCTTTCACGAGCGTACTAAACACATCGAGGTTGATTGTCATTATGTTCGTGACGCTGTCCAGTCAGGCCTCATTACTACTCGGCATGTGTCTACTCACGAGCAGCTCGCTGGCATTTTCACCAAGGCCTTGGGCAAGCGCCAATTTTCATACATTCTTCGCAAGTTGGACATTCTTGATCCTCATGCTCCAACTTGAGGGGGCGGGTGTTGAGCTATTAAATGTAATTATTATATGTATTTATTTGTATAAAATCATTTAGCACTTTAAGCCCATTATTAGTTTGTACGGTTAACTTGTTTATTATGGGCTTAGGGTTGGTTAGACTTGTATTTAAAGTGTACGTACAACTTATTTTGGAATCAAGGAAAATACTTTCCCTCAATTTGTCAAAAAGCACTCCATATGAAAAATAACAATTAAAGGGCATGGGATTCCATGCATGCACAACAAGAAAAATTCCAATCATTTGAATCTTTGACCATTCAAAATGTGACCATATATGCGGCCCTATCAAAGTAACTGCAAGTCTACAATGAGATTGATTTATCCTCAACTAGATACCTCAATTGTTTTAAATAATGCTAGAAGTGAAATTTGAGTATTAAAATAAATAGCGATGTCCGAATTGATTAAATGAACTTTGTTTACTTAGTAAGTTAGTAGTTTCATTGTGTTGGCATTTTACTATCCTTTTTGTATTACCACTTTATAATAATTTTTTAGAATTCATCTTGACGATTAATTGTTAAATTCATAATATTAATTAGTACATGATTAGATGTTAATTTCAATTACTTTTTTTTTATTTCATCCTGGCCCCCTTCTATCGTATCGTGGTTCCTCCCCTGTAACGTTACACAAACCTATATTACATGTTCAGACTCCACGACTTGCACCGGGTATTCCAAGGTTGCTTGTGGTCTACCCAGCTAGTTCTCAACGTACCAGTTATTTTTAGACAAATAATAGAAAAGAATATCGAGTAAAAATGCAATGCTTGAGTTTATATTTGTGGAAAGAGCCATGCTTGTACGTTTAAGCAAGCATGTACACACCAATTTTACGCGCTCACACTAATAGCTGCCTTAAAATTCTGCATTTATTAACAAATTGTCTGTGTGCAAAGATATATACGTATAAAAAGGTACAGAATGGCGTGTACAAATGGAAAATCCTAATGGAAAAGCATAATTGTTTCAGCTGATCATGACTTTCACTTATTATGTGCTCTAAAGAGCATTACTAACGCTACTTAAATCTGATTCAGCATCACTGGAGTTTGTTTAGTCACAATAATGTAATATAAAAAAAATTAGATTAAGGAATTGAAAATTTCTGTGAATTAAAGAGAACTATTCAATTCTATATGTAGTGAAAAAAAGAGTTAATGATGTATTTATTTATAAGGAAGAAATCCTACCCCAAGACCGAAAGAGCTTTCATAACCGCTAGTAGCCGAAGTGTCGAACGGCTATTTAGAGGAGTTTTTTCCCGATTAGAGGTATTTGCTAATCTTATTTCCCAATTAGTAATAGTTCTAAACTTATTTCCCAAATAATGGTATTTTTGCTTTGTGAGCACAATATTAGGCTTATTAGCACAACAGAATAGTTCACCATATTAGCACAATAGTCACCCACACCTATTCCTTGTGAGCACAATGGTCGTCACATCACATATTCAAGTATTCAACATCATTCACTAGTTATTCCTACCATCTGATTCAGGCGTGCCAAACACTTACATAGCATATAGTATAGAATGACCGGTTAATGATGTAGAATATGTGACGAGACCATTGCACTAACATGGCAAATGACAGGACAAAAAAAATTTTATTTGGAAAATAAGTTTAGAATACCCCTAATTGAGAAATAAAATTAAAAATTGAAAAGCACCCCTAATTGGGAAAAAACTCCTACTTCAAAACAAAAATGCAGATCAATTGTGTCCACATGGAGGCATGGGGCCCACATTCAAAAAGTTAAAAAGCCATATGACAGCCCCACTATATGAAACTGGAACCGATACCATATTTACCGGTATCAGTTTCAATCCAGGAGCCGGGTAAACTCATAAGCCCTAGTAGCATCATATATTAACGAGTGACGACTAACGTTAGTATTTAAATAATAACGCTCTAAGCTTGCAAGTTCTTTCAGACTCTAAATAATTCTACTCTGTGGTAGAGAATTTGGACTTACGGCATGGAAAAATTGGAGGGTTCATCTACAAAATTCAACAGAAAGCTCAAAATCGCAGGCTTAAGGCCATGTTTGTCGCCATTTGCACCATTTTTTGTTTCTAAAACACCTTTCATGAGGCGAGTGTACAGTCTTTCTAGTTGGGGAATGCCAGAGTCTTTTGTCTGCTCCAAGCAACGCTTCTTGATGGACTCAATTTTACTGCAAACCTCTCCATCTGACATGTCAGCATCTTGCTGGAATCCGGAATTCTCAGCTTGACCGTCAGAAACTATGGTTTCCGGCATGTTCTCATCGGCATGAGTAACAGCAGCTTCAGGTTGTTCTTGTGTTGGGGACTTGTGTTCAAATGACTCTTGGGGTTGTGATCCCTCATCTGATGTTGAAGCTAAATATATATAGAACATATCGCAGACACCAATCACATGTCAAAACAAAGAATAGTATATAAAGATACAAAAACGCATTTTTTGCATTGTGGGGGTGTCTCCCATGTTTGGATTCAAAAAAACGGTGTGCGATATGCATTCCTTTTTCGGGTTGATTTGAGTAGTTTAGTAGTGGGAACTAGAGTATTGAGAATCATATAAGGAGCCTGTTGATTAAAGCCCTAAAATGATTGAATTTTCTGAATCTGCTCAAGTTTTGTGAGTGAAATGAGATGAAGTGGAAATGTCAATATAAACTGTTATATTCATTGAACAAATTAAAGAAAGTAATATCTAGGAATATCATTTCCATTATTTTCAGCTATCTAGGAATCTCATTTCCTTTATTTTCAGCTAAAAAGTACTACCTCTGTCCCACAATCTTGGGGACATCTGGAAGTGGATGGTATTGAATTTGTTAAGTATGAATCACCACAAATACTAACAAATATAGTATGGGACAAATTCAATGGATCAACAGAAAAGGAAAGAAGCGAAAAAATAGTTAGACATAGGAGTGACTGTTCTCTATCTCATTATATTTTGCGAATCACGATTCACCATGACATAAGCTGGAGTTATGGTAAAAAATATTTGATAAGCTAAAAAAGGGACTAAACAGGCACAAATTCATGTTTGGACTTGTGGTAATTCACACAAATTCTGAGAATTGTGCACACGCAAATTGGACATGCATATACAAAAGAAGTCCATATCAACCACGGTCAATAAAAAGCATTTGAAGTTAAGTCACCTGAACTTCAAATAAAATTTTCCATTTTTCTAAATAAAAAACAAACCTGTGTGCGCAACATCAACGTTCTTCTTTGGTCTCTTCAAAGCTTCGTAACTCTGTTTCAGGTTAACTTCCGGCTGTACATTCCTTAAGCGTGCACTTACCCTAGTGACAGAGGTCACAAGAATAGGAGATTGTGGCACCATGGTGCTCCCAACATATTCATCAGGCACCGACACGGGGCCCCCTTCCGCTGCAATCTTCTCACAGAACGCAACCAGGGCAGGATCCATCTGGGAAAGCATGCCATGCACCTGACAAGGGCAGAAAAACTTCACAATATCAAATCAAAGCTATAAGTTAGTGAAAGAAAACTAAAGTAGACAGAGAAAGCAAACAACATACAGAATCCCTCAGCTCATAAGCTCTGCTGACAATCCTTGATCCATTGTAATCATCGCCATTGTATTTCTGTACCAGACACACACAATACATCAGATTTGATCCCTTTTCAGAGAGCTACCAGCAAGTTTGGTAAGAAAGGCGGGCTTTTATGTGGTAAAGGGTTATTTATTCCTTGGGAAAGTGTTCACAAAGAACAACGAAAGATATTCCATTGTTTTCTTTTGATGAAAGTAAAAACATTTGGGAATATTTACAGAAAAACATTTCTTTCCAAAAGAAAAAACTTTCTTTTGGAAAGTGTTCAGTTTGATTGGTTTTGAGAACAAATCAAGAAATTAAAAAAAAAACGAGAATTAATAACCAATTTCTACGGGGGTATTTTAGTCTAAGCATGTCCTTTTTCATCTTTATGCAGAAAAAGACAACATTGTGGCCATGGTAAGTGGAAGAAAAGAACTTCAAGGAATGCTTATGTTTTTTTCTTTTGGGAAGAGAATAAAGTTTCCCTTCAACAAATGTGATATAAGCCTTTATATTCTCTGCTTATAAGTTATAAGTTGCATAGCGGCACAGACCAATCTGATAGTTATAAGTTAGCTTCCAAACCAGCGGCGGACACGGGGGGAGGTGCCGCCTCTAGTTGGTATAGTTACTTCAGTTTCTTTTTTTGTACTTATAGATATATGTATTCGTCCCCTCAAATGAGTACCCGTCTGACCGTCTCCATGTGTAGAATTCTGTCGCCGTCACTACTCCCAACAGTTGATGGGTGAAGATACCAACTGTCATTCTTATTTTTACATTCATCACTAATATGAAGGACAAATGTTTCAAATAAGAAAGAGAATGAACGAATGCATCCAGATTAAAAGTCTTTTTGCTTGACAAATGATAAAAATATTTCAGAGACATCAGGATAGGGCAAAAGGAGATTGTTTAGGGAATAGCACAAGGAGAGTATGAGTAAATAAATTTAGATACACTCCACCTTTGCATTTGCCACAATAAGATCAAAATCATCTAGATAAGCTTTGCACGTGATATACTTTCCGCTGTCAACATGATGCAGCAGAGTTGCAATGTCCATTGGGTTCTGGATGATTGAACGATAATTTGGTGCATCCTCATCCATTACTGGAAAGTGGAAGGCACTAAAACGTTTATCATATAAAATTCTGCACATGTGCAAAAGAAAATGATTAGAATATAAGCTTATTTATGACAAGAAAAAACAATGGCAAGCAAATAACCACAAAATAGTGAAATGAGAATCAAGCATGTTATAACCCAAGGTAAGTACTAAAATAAATTACACACGGTTTGTGATTTTTCTCTAAATATGTGTGTATTGTGATGACTGGGGAAACAAAAACAAGAAGAATAGGCATTTAAATAAAGTACAAGTTTTGGTGCATTTTGCATGTGTTTACATTTAAACATGTATTCCTTTGGCACTCACAATCTATGGTGCCCTTTGAATTTGCTTTATTTCTCATATATTCTGTGTTTTCATTCAATTTATCTCATATTGACTTCTATGTCTTCAGTGTTATAGAAATCACGCTAATATGATATGTCAATATATTATACATTATGTGATTTTCCATCTTGGGCCTCCACAGTTCTAAAGACGGCCCTGTTAATACGTCAAACATATGTGAACAAGGGTGCATAACTGCATCATTAAATGGGTGAACTAGGAAAATCAATGCTTGAACAAAATTCATACATCCCATAAATTGACGCCAGGATACCCAGTCCAGAATAAACCAGAATGACTTTGACTAAACCACGACGACATTTTGATCGCTTGGACAGGGTTGTACAAGAGATTTTGGACAGGGGAATCAATCTCATAAATACAATACTTCAAAAACATGATAAGTGCTATATAGACGTAGAGTTGTACTCATATGATGGTTGAAGCACCATGATACCAATAATTTAGGTAAGGAATCAATTTAAAATTACATTACTTAACAATTTTCATGATAAGTATTAAATTCATAGAAAATGAAAATTACCGGTTACAGATATCACGTAAGCACATACGCATTCGCCTGAGAGCATGTCCCTGAGCTTCAGCTTTGGATTTTAATTCAGAAGCCTTTGGTCCTGTATCCACTTTTGGAGCCTTCGGAAGTTCTGGAAGAGAATCTGACTTGTCGGACACACCAGAGTCGAATTGAATTGACAAAGCAGATTCAATGAGACAATCAAAGAACATAGATCTATCTTCGTCTGATGGTGTGTCTATACACAAGCTGCCAAAACAAAATACAGTTTTTAGTTCATTGAAGATAAATTTGTATTCCAACATGTACAACAATGAATATATGACTCAGTATATAAAGATGAAATAATTACATATTCTAACACGTGAAATAGGAGATCTTGTTGGAGATGAGTTATTGACACCATAAGTACAAAAGGATTATAGGGACCACAAATATGTTTCACACATGCACCAAAGACCTTCCTGAAGAGATTATATTTAATAAAAAGATAATATCCAAGTATCTTAAACATGATGAACCTTTAGACAAAGAAATTTTTTTAAAAATGATGAATGCTGGATTGATTTTGACTAGTTCTATCAAGATCAGAAGCAAATTGGGCAAAGGCTTCTAATACAGCGAATTGGGCGAGTTCTAATTTTAATTTACCAGCTACCTTTTTCATGGCTTTAATTTGAGCTGCAGACCCCACACGTCCCGCAAAGGCTCCCACCTACGGTGGGGTAAGAGGGGTCGGATGTACGCAGTCTTACTCCTGTACTAAAGCACAAAGAGACTATTTCTGAACGATCCATAGTGAAAATCGCGTCCAAAATTGCATGGAAAATGAGGTTTAAAATCCAATTCAATAAGTACTGCCAGTTATAAGTGATTCCAACTGCAAATGAATAATTCAAGAATGGCCAACAAATCAAGACAATAACTTGTCATTATTGTTATTGATTTACTGGTCCAAAGGAAAACACTTAGATTGTGAAAAGCTAGAACTTGCAGTTCTTTAAAGATGCATGCAGAGTATGAGCATAATGATAATCCACATATGGTCTACAAAACCCAAATATAAGAATAATGCAAGAACCAGGAAAGTTCTAAAAAAATGATTCAACAGTTCAAGATTAAAAAAAAGGAACTTACACATTATGTTCATGAAATACTGAAGAAGAATTATCTTCTAACTCAGAGAGCCGCACTGAGGAAGTTCCAAATAATAATATAGGATAGTCAGATGGCAGTTCGTCCAACAAGGTAAGCAAAACAGCCTTGAGCTGGTCATGTGCCTGAAACATACAGAAAACATCACAGAGGATAAACCCCCAAAAAAAGTATAATGTGTGAAAAAATAGCGCGAAAGCGGCAAACACACATTTTCCCACCAAAGATGGAATTGAGGTAAATAAAGTACTGATGGAGTTGTCCGTCTAGCTTCACTAAATATGTGAACCAATGCCTCTTCTGGTGTTTTGGCACCAGGGTCAGAAAGAAGAGAGGCAAGTCCAAGTGAATGCACGGGAAACTTTTCCAGCTCATGTAAAATTGCGGGCCCTACATGATCCTGCAAAACTAAATGAGTAAACTAGGGTTTGCAGTTCACATTGGTCACAAAAAATATTTAAACAAACAAAGGATACCATAGAGTATATACCAGACCAGTTCCTTCACCACCGCATATCAAAATCCTAGGCCTGTACACCAGAGGAACCGCGGAGCCATAAGAAAGCATGGAAAGCCTTGTCAACTCTGAAGACACTACAAGAGGGAAAATGTCTGAAATAATGGTCATAGCTTTCCGGAGATGTCCTTGTAAACAAGGCGCAACAACAGGTGATAATGGTCTAGAATGCACTATGGAACCTCTGTGAGCAGCAGGGGTGATCGTTGTCATGGCCTCCATGAAATTATGCTTTTGTACCTCAACCGAGTCAACGTCTATCAAAAACTTGTCATCGCTAGTGTAAACCTGAGGATACTTCTCACGGAAAGCACGAATAGCAGCCTCGGTGCACAATGCCTTTAAGTCTGCACCACAATATCCCACACAGCTAGCAGCCAGTTCCATTTTAAGCTCGTTCGAAGGAGGTTGTTTCCACTTACGAGTGTGTATGTCTAATATTTCTGCACGTGCCTTAAGTCCAGGCAAAGGAAAATTGAACTCACGGTCAAACCTTCCCGGGCGGCGAAGGGCGCCATCAATCGCATCAACCCTATTGGTAGCTCCAATCAAAACTACTTGCCCACGAGAATCAAGACCATCCATCAAGGCAAGTAGAGTTGACACGATGGAATTATGAATCTGTTCTTGCTTGCTAGACCTCACGGGAGCAAGTCCATCAATCTCATCAAAGAAGATGATGGAAGGTTGATTTCTTTGAGCTTCTTCAAACAACAACTTCAGCTGTCTTTCGGCCTCACCAACCCATTTGCTCAGAACATCAGCGCCTTTTCTCATATAAAAGTTGACTTTCTGACCAGCCTTCGAAGCAGCGGAAGCTAATGCTCTGGCAATCAGTGTTTTACCTGTTCCAGGAGGACCACATAACAGCACGCCCCGTGGAGGGGTAATGTTGTAACTTGCAAAGAAGTCAGGATACAACAGAGGAAAGAAAACCATCTCCTTTAGTGCATCAATATATTCAGAAAGCCCGCCAATGTCCTCAAAGCTCACGCTTCCGTCAACTTGTAATGGTTGAATATCAGCCCCACCTTTGGAACTTGGTCCGGCAGTTTGAACACCAGAGGTCAAACCAGCCAAGGTGTCACTTTGGTGACCCCATCCAGATGCAGCAGCAAGATTCAATCCCCATGTCCCGTGTGTGTCTAGCCCCCCCAAAAGCCAAGGCGGGCCAGACCTCCCCCCTGTTCTACTACTACCCCCCCAAGGAACATGAGGACCTTGGTCCAACTCGTCAACAAGAAGAGAATCATCAGAGTCGTCAGCTCGGGCCATTCTGTGACGCTTATGAACACGGTGTGCTCCTTTCCTTACATCTCTATTCACCTTATTAGTTCCCATTCCCTGCTGAAGCACCCTACGAGGAGACCTTGATCTTTGCTTACTACTTCCCTCCTCAATGGATCTCCGTACATCGGCACGGTTGCGGAGGTCATACCTCCTCCTACCCTCATGCTCTTCTTCACCCTCCTCGTCATCACCATCTTCATCTTCCCCATCATCCTCGCCATCACCTTCATCCTCAGCGTCATTATCATCATTGCCATTTTCTGCCTCGTCCTGGCCAGCCTTCTCCTCTGAAGTGCCATGTTGTTCATCATCAGACTCTAATTTCAATTTTTTTTTGGCAACTGTTGTTGGATGACGAGAACGTAATCCTGTACGGCGAGGACGCAGACCAGCACGTCGAGGAGTTAATTCAGCTTGATTTGCAGTGTCATTCTCGATTTGGCCCCTGGAACGTCCATATTTGGGGCTCTGAATAAAATTCAGATAATACTTCAGTTTCCTATATATATAAATATATATATTCCCTGCGCTCTTTTTCAAGTGCCATTTTGGTGTTCCAACACATGCTAAGAAAAAAAATGATATTTTTATAGTCAAAAGTAGTATAATATGACAAGGGTGCCCCAATTGATGTTTAAATATCTACCAGCATTAATGAATGGAGAAGGACAAAGATGTAAAAATTGGAAAATGATTAAATAATGCTCTCTTGGCATCCTAAAAACCAGTTATTAGAGAACAGAAAAATCTCTAAGGGCTTGTTTGGTTAGGGGATAACAGAGGGAAGGGGCGCTTAAGTAAAATTGCCCCTAATTGTCAGTTAAGCTTTACACAAGAAACAATTATATGGTTACTGATTAGATAGACCATTTGCTGAGAACTTCAGAGCCTTTTCTCATGTAAGCTTTTATCTTCACATTGTTTCAAACCAGCTAAGTGTAAAAACTATTTAACAAATAATTATCACCCCTCCCTTTCCTTCCCCTCCAAAATCTTCAAACAAATTAGCCCTAAAGAGACAATAAAAAAAACGAGTCCTAAAGAGACAGTCAAAAAGATCCCTAGAGACACACTTAAAAGAGAGCGGGGGGGGGGGGGGGGGGGGGGGTGTGTACTTCCTTAGTTCCTTTACACACTAAACTGAAACATTAAGAACTGGGGGCATGCTTACATATGTTAGTTCCTTTACACACTAAACTGAAACATTAAGAACTGGGGGCATGCTTACATATGAACAATCCAATATTTGTCACGGCGGCCAGCATGCTTACATGGGAATCCAGCAAACAGACTTAACACCTGGGCGACAAGATAACCGCCCAGGCAGCAAGTAACCATATGTAAAATTTAAATGTACTCCCTCCGTATCCCTTTAACTGTCATGTATTCCTTTTTGGGCTATATCTAATTAATTCTCACATTTCCATTTTTGGAATGAAATTGACTCTATAAGCAGCTACAGTACAAACTGCTACAATACCAGAAAGCTCCTGCTTTTTGTAAAGTGTACAATAAACCTATAGCATTATCTTAAACTACGTGAAAAGCCTAATCAAACAATTAAAAAGATATGGAAGGAGTAATATATTAAAAAATAATACATGTATTACTACCTCCGTCCCGTTGAGAGGTTCCCGTGACAAAATGGCATGGTTATTTACACAATATTTAAATAAGGTAGTTCGAGTATATTTTGAAAAATAATTTTAATAGGTATATAATACAATTGGGTTAGTGTTGATAACTGTGATGTTATACATGTATTATTTTTAATATTTAATGATTAATTTGTCATTTAAGATTGGTAATTGTTTCCTAAAATGGAAACGGGAACCTTTATGTAGGACGTCCGAAAAAGAAAAGTGGGAACCTTTCTATGGGATGGAGGGAGTATATCATAAATATAAACAACATAGTTAAGTACTCATGGTAAATACTGCATAATGACGTGATCTAAGACTATTCAGCTGTACTGCTGTAGTGAGCACAAAGCCAGTAAGTCATGGTGTCACAGAGATAAGGGGACAGGAATACCAAATCAGAAAGTTATTTATTATCCATATAAAAGAGGCAAAACATTTCACTGTCTGCGAAAATGAAGAAAGAAGGAGAAGAAAAGGAAAGGAAAGAAGAGCGCCTGAGGCGGCCTTCCATGGTGAAGTTGCTACACTGCTTGGATGCCTAGTCATTGCCGTGACAACTATGCAGCAATCATGTCCTACAAACAACATTTGATGATAAAGAAAAAAAGAAACAAACATAAAATAATTGTATACCATTAGGTCATTGTCTTCTGTTCCAGAACTATCTGTGAAACCTTCGAGGTTTACAGAAATCCTCCTCTTTCTAGTAGAACGACGGAGATTTGTTGCAACTGGCTGCCAATAAAGCCAAATAGAAATACAGTAAGTTTTTAAACACAAAATGGCTGCAAAATAAGGTTGTCCATGAGAGAAGGTTACAAAGTAAAAGGTCTTCAGAAAGAATTGAATAACAATGCGAGGAGAACATTAATCAATTAATTTAAGATGCATATGGTAGAATTGAATATACTGTCTACAACGAAAAAACAAACGGAAAAGACTATTCAAGGTTCATAAGCAACAAACTGTGATACTATATTTTCTCACGGCCAACGAGTTGTGTACTTTTCAGGCTTTCAGCCATTCAGGCTGTTAATTGGTTTCCATTTCACCAGTTATTATAAGTGGCATAATGTGTTAGATTTGTTTACCTCATACCCAACATGAGGACAAAAACACGTATTTGGGTCTTAAAATAATAAAATAGCATTTTCATACTAGGATAAAAGTAGTGACAAAAAGTAAAGTCTGAATGTCAAGATTGCTTTTATAGACTATTGTTGAAGTCTTTAACTATTTTAAGACTTGTAAAACGTCCTAGTCATATATATATACACACACAACAACAACAACAACAACAACAACAACAACAACAAAAACAACATTGCCCTAGTGCCACAAAGGCTCCACCTACGGTGGGGTAAGGCGAGTCGGATGTACGCAGCCTGACCCCTGTAATAAAGCAGGGAGAGATTGTTTCCGGATGACCCATGACGAAAATCCTGTCAAAAATTGCATTGACTGAATGCTGCTTCATAACAAAGAAGCATTGACAATTTAGTGAGTCATTTTGCTGTATTCCATCATATTCTCAAGCCAAAAATATCGAATCTTTGGCTCCACTGGAAATGTTGGACAAGTCCTATGCATACATATACACATATACGTAGTTTTTTTAAAACCATCATGTGTACCCCAATTACATCAATACCAAAAATAACAAGAGAAAAGCAGCACATACACTTGTCTTAGCTTTCCGAACTTGTCGATCACCGAACATCTTTGCAATACGAGAAGCTGGTGCCTTTTTCTTTGTCTTTCCTCTGCGAGGTTCCATATAGTATAAAAATTGGCGACCATTGACATATGATTTTGGTCTTCTCCTGAGCCTGTCACTTGTGCGAACTGGCCTAGTGTCATCTTCATCTCCTTGAGTAGAGCGCTTTGGATACATTTTGCTTATTTACATCTTCCCATAAGCATGAAAAGCTATGTCATAGAATTAGATAATGATAAGTAAACTACATGTTGAGTTTAAAAGAATAAAAATTGTTATACAAACAAGGGCGTATCCAAGGCAATATATAGGGGTAGGCCAGATAAATTTGAACTAAAAAAATCTCAAATATAAATATAGTGATCAAAATCAGTCCACATGCATTACAGAATTTATTACTATTAAAAATATAATGTGTTAAATGAAAAGTTAGTTGCACTAGACCGTCTTTTACTTTAGCAAACTCATGGATAAGGGAATCTATATTTATTTTATTAACAAGCTCTCTTTCAATAAAAATTGCCAAACTATCAGAAACTTATCATGCATCGTATTGCGGTCTTGACATGTTTCGTTGATGAAAATACTCTCTCAGTTTTTTTATGGTCACAGACAATTATCTTTACAAAAGTGAAAAACAATTGTGGGTGCATAGATAAAAAAAAAGTAGCGTGTATTCCGTGTATTACCTTAACTCATTAACTACGCATATAGTAATTTACCAAGAAATAATAATACTTTAATTTTGATAGTCAACAAACAAAACTAAAGGTCTAATTATTATCTAAAACACTAAGGGGTTGTTTACTTTTTTCTCATTAAGTCTTGAATGGGTTAAGATTTCTGTTTGGATTAAGAGATCTGTTTGGATTAAGTGACACTGAAAAACAAAGTGTTTACTATGTGGGCTGACCAAATGACCAAATGACCCTCCTGTCTTAATTATATTAAATTAAATGACCAAATGACCCTCCTGTCTGAAACTAGTATTGAATATATATTGTGTGTTTACTTTCATTTTTCTGAAATATAATTTCATATGTCTAAAATCATTAGACAATGAAACACTTAAATAAAAGAATCCCATTACATGATAAGAGAAATTCAAGAAATTTCAAACAACGACATTTTAAATTTAAACATTTCCCACTAGTTTATTCGCAATTTCTGCAAATTCGTCATATACTATGGACTTCGCATACCCCATTGTACTCCATACACTTCTTCAATTTTAGTGTGAAAAAACTATCATTTCAGCACAAAAAATTATCGACCCCTAAAAGTCTAAAAGATAAAGTTCCTAAACTCATGGGAAAAAATGAAATGGAAATCAATCATAAAATTTCCCTAATTTGACAGCATTAGTAAAGTTCAGTTAGTATAGATACTTCTTAATGATAAATTCAAATATAAAGATGCCACATAAGTATGAATTAGTAACAATCTGCCTAAAACTTTGACAGCATTAGTTTGACAGTACGTATGGGCTACGCTTAAGAGTGGATACAATATTGTCTTCTGTTCATAAGAGACTTTTCCTAGGAAAAAAATCAATGTTGGCACTTTTTAGTTCTTTTGGGACTGACGGACTGAAATGAGGTAAGCTGAACTTGACTATTATATTTTATGGACTCTGATAAAAAAGCAACCCAGATGAACTTGACATTTGAGGATTTTCAGGAGATTCGCTGAACTTGTTTCAAAATTAGTTTGAAAAAGTAATAGCCAAGGCAGAAAGCATGAAAAGGGAAACAATTCACAGAAGGTCAGAAGATGAGAGCAAATGTAGGAGGTAGGAGGATGACAGCAAGTTGTAAGTACCAACTATCACAGAGGCATCTGTTCCTTTGAGGCTAGAGCTATGTTTAAGAATATGAAACCTATGTTTATAAATCAAGGGAACAAGTCATCAGAAATTCGTTTATATGGAAGCAATCAAGCAATCATAAACTATTGAGCATTCAACCTCAGGTTTAACTGTTTAAGAATATGCCATATTTAAGGTAAGTTAAATTGTAGAAATTTCACCAAAATACATAAACATAGTCAGTGGCGCATCCACTGTGGGGGTAGTGGGGGCAGCTGCCCCTCAACCCCAACCCAACCCCTATATATATCTAAAACTTTATAGGAAATTGTTCAAAAAAGAGTTAAACATAGGAAAAATTCTAAAATTGTTTTCTTTCCTAAATATAGGATTTATGTAATCCTATTAAAAGAATAAATTGATAAAAAATCACTTAACGTTGTTATGTTTAATTTCGATTTAGGTAATTTTCTCAAATTATATCTAGAATTGCATCTTTACACATGTCATATAAATTGATCTTCTTTTTATACATACTTGTACATATATATCTTAAACCAAGTCTAATCAAACAATGTTAATAATGTGATTTGCTATTTGTGAAATATGGGACTAAATTCTAGCGTATGTTCATCCCTTCATAAAATTTTCTGAATATGCCACTGAATGAGTGTACTTACAACAAAAATTGAAAATCAGTTGTGCAGGAAGTGAGCGATCAGATCCGAGAATAAGGAGAAACTCTACAAAATAAAGAATAAAAAATGAAAAATAAAAATACCGGGGTTAAGGGGATGAGAGGAAACTTCGCTGATTAGCACCGGTCGGCGAATCTCGGGAGTTTCCTTAGAGCTTAGTGCTGTAGGTGAAGGTCGCTAGTTTGCTTAGAGCATCGGCTACCGATCAATCTGCTGGGAGAAGCGATGAAATGTCGAGAGGGAGAAGCAGGGTTAAAAAAGAGACTTCTGAGCTCATGTGTCCGAAGCCTGAGTACTCAAATCTGGTTGAACGAGATCAACGACTTTAAATCACGTTTATAGCCTTTTTTACAACTTCTAGGACCAAACTCACCTTTTACTCATTTTAAAAGTGATCAATTTCGTGAATAAATTAAATAAAAAATTGCACCCGCAAAAAAGTGCAACAATAACGTACAATAATGCATAGCATTGAAGGAAAAGTGAAAACTTTCACATTTTGTACGGATAATATTCAAAAGAAGGAGTTAAGAAAATAACTCACAACTTAAACATTCAACGAGGTTCAAGAGCAAAATCAAGAATTGTGAGTTTAACCCCTCATTTGGAAGCTAAACAATGCTATAAACATATAAAGAAAATAATATTCTAAGTTGAGCTGAAGTATATGGAAGAAGGGATTTTAAAATGGGAAGGAAAATGAGTGTATTTATAAGTGTTTTGGTGAGGTTAGGTCAGATACCCGACCAGATATTTAGGATTCCCGACCGGGTATCCTTACCAATAGCTACGAAAGTGCTGAAATCTAGTCATGCATAACCCGTCACAGTGACCAAATATGCAATGACCAATGTTACAGTTACCAATGACATAGTTACAAAATTCATCCAGTGTCAAAAAATTAATACGTCACACCAATGACCCGCATCACAGTGACCAAATGTGCAGTGACTTTTGTCCAGTGACCAAATGACAAAGTGACATCCACTCGGTGATCAATTTTTATAGTGATTCACGTGCAGTGACCACCGCCACAGTAACCATCGTCTAACAGTTACAGTTATCCGACTCGTTCAGTTACAGTTGTCTGACCCGTCCAGTTACAATTATTCGACCTGTTCAGCCACAGTTACAATTTCCGGGTTCGAACATTTACAATTACCCGAACCCGATAATAATTACTGTTGGCCAACATTTCCCACCACCACCAGCAACTGATATCGATCGCCGTCGGCGACCGCCGCCGAAACTCACCTTTGGCCACTACCACCAACCGCCGCCGCCAACACTACACCCCAGACCTCTCCCCCACCCCATCCCTCTCCCCTCCCCCACTCCATCCCTCTCCCCTACCCCAGCCCCCTTCCCTATGTCACCCCAGCCCCCTTCCCTGAGTCCTTGAGACACCCAACACCCTGCCCCTCCGGCACCACCACGCACAGCCCCCCAAGCCCTCCCTTCCATGGCCCTGCAACTACCATCAACCCCAGCCCCACAGACGCCACAACCGCGACCACTGTACAAATTAGATCCAGAATCTGCAAAAAATGGAGCATCACTATAGATATAACATCGGAATCTGCAAAGTCCAAACACAACCGCAGATCTCCAGCACGCATCCCAATTCTGAACCTGCGAAATATTGAAGCGCTCATGTGCAATTGATGCTGGGTCTAACCCCAGTCGGAGACAAGAGTAAAATAAAATTGGAAGGCACCGCCGCAGTGGTGAAGAAAAGCGATTTGAACCACCACATCGCCACCCTAGCTGTCTCTGCCTCGAAGCCCTATCCATACCACCGCGTCGTCGACTCGCCGCCATTCCCGCAAACCCTAGGTTGCTCGCAATCGGACAGAAAGAGTAGAAGAGGAAAAAATTAGAATAGAGTCGGCGGCAGTGGTGAAGACAGAGAGGATGGCGACGACGAAGAGTTCAAGATGATGGAGTGGGCGGTTGAGATTGAATGCTGATGGTTGTCTGGTTTCCTTCGGCGCATAAGACTCGTTGATGGTCTCGGTCGACGCTGAAGACAGGGAGGATGGAGAAGAAAATACACCGGGGCAGTTGTGAAATTTCACATCTCTATTAGTCTCATATTTGTCCATTGGGAAACTCGGCTTTATTTCTGTCTTTCGATGACTCCCTTGTCCCATTTTTGGCATTATTCCATAAAAGTACAATAGAACTAAAATAGTTTGAAAATTCCAAAATAGGACTGTCATGTTTTTTATTCCCAAAATAGGAGTAATTACTGCCAAGTTTGGAAAATACTGCTATGTTTGAAGTCTGGTACGTACTGCCAAAACATGACAGTAATTAGTCCTATTTTGGAAATAAAAACATGTCAGCCCTATTTTGGAATTTCCAAACCTTTTTAGTCCTATTTTGGGTAAATTCTCAAGTACAATTAATAATTAGATTAAAATGGTTAAATAAAAAATATTTTTATAGAAAAGAAATCATTAACTATTAATCGATTGAAGTGGAAATCATTAAATCAGTGTCAATCATTAAATCAATTATAAGGAAAATAACACATTGCTTTTTAAAAAATAATTAAAGTGGATTCTCAAAATAAAAAGTCAATCATTGAATCAATTTAAGCTTTAAATTAAAAAGTTATTTTAGTACATGTTTGATAACACTTACATTGATTGAATCGACCGAAATTGATGAATTTGTGGTTGAATATGCTAAATTATGAAAAAACTATATTTAAAATATATTTTGTTAACAAAATCAAGAAAAATTATATGAAAAAATAGTTAAATGATCACATACTCTAACTTCAACCAATTCAATCGCAAAAGCAACTCCAATCTTACATATTTTGATTATTTGAAAATTCAATGCATAAAAGCAAAAGTTACACATTTGATCAAAAAATGATTGATACGACTCAAAAAATGAACTCCTATTGCGACATAATAATTGTGAACAATTACTCTCTAATACTCCGTATATAACACCTTAAGGCCTTCCAGTCTATACAAGTACTCCATACTTCGGTCTTTCCCTCATGTAGGGTTTAGTTTTCCGCCTGCCATTATAGGCTTGCGCGGCCAAATAATTTCAACTTCGCGCATCACACGAGCATGGTTATTGTGTCGTAGGGTTTCTTTTCCGCCGGCCGATCTAGGCTTTGTGCGGCTAGGGAATTTCAGCCTTGCGCATCGCACATGCTTTATTTTTGCTCACAGATTCGTCTTCAACTGCTCAACACAGCAAGAAGAAATCATGGAATCCAGTGTTAACCAGAATGACACTTGGCTACGTGACGACTTCTCCTACACTTTCGATTGCACAGTAGAGAATGTTATGAATAAGGAGAAAGAAGAGGAAGAAGATGCAGTATTGCCAATCTGACCCTTTAATTTGCCGAACCGCCGCCGTGGAGGAATCATGTGGTTAAGATTTGGAAGATGTTGCTTCAAGTTTGACTTTATTTTAATTATCTTGCTCATATTTTTTTGGTTCGAACTGAATGTTATTTTTGTTGTTTTCTTTATTTATACTAGCATAACTCCAGAGTTTAGGTTGGACGGTAAAAATATATTTCATCTATCATTGGTTCAGTTAAGCTCATTATAGGATCAGCAAATCATTTTTTGAAAATGATAGACTCATGTCTAGTTCAAAGGCAAACGGTCAAAAATGACTTTTTATCTTTTTGTATCTTTTATTTTTTGAATGATTCTGATTATTCAATACAGTATAACCCACTTTCTTTTCTTCCAATAAAGAATGTACTCCATACTTCGTATATACTTACATGTGACACCATGCCCATGGGCATAGCTAGGGGTGGTCAGCCAAGACCCTAACCCACCCCAAATTTTAAAAATGCCTATATTTTTAGGTTAAAAATTCTGTGTAATTTTTTTTCAAAAATAGTCTTTATACCGGCCCAGTGCCCTGGCTCCGCCCCAGACCATGTCCTGTTAATCCGACTACGTGGTGTCCAGAAAACCAGAAAACCAGTGTGTCAGAGCCTATTAACCGTTAAGGAGCAGTTTAGCTGTAAGAGCAGGAACAGTTATCGACATACAGTCCCATTTTTATGTATATAAAGATAAAGATTACATGTAATGAAACGGAAAAGATCATCATAAAGAAAAAAACAAGTACAAGGAGAAATGAAGGAAATGGAATATAAAAAGGCAAAAGGCAAAACAAAAATGCAAGCTTATTAATAAGTTGGATTATCATGTGAAATTGTTTTGGCAAAAAGATCTATCATGGGAGCTCAATGAATGCTTTGTTGACATCTAAGCAATGCCATTCAAGTATTTGGTGCTCGTTAGGCGAGGCAACCAGCCATGGCAGGTTCTCTCCACTGCCTCGACTCCCAAGTGGCGGCTCAACGAAGCCTTGACAACTATGAGCTGGAACAGAATGGTCAACGGCTACCAAAAAATATTATTGAGACGGCAGTCAAAGGTCACAAGTCACATGGTAGGGTTTGTACGTATAAAGAGAAATTAAACCACAGTTCATATAAAATCACTAAACTGTCACCTACAAAATCGATCTCTTTATATGTACACATGTATTATTCTTTTTCCATTTTAACATGCTGTGCAAATTTATTTACCTATAGTTATTATATACAATCACAGAATACAAAATTTGCCCCAAATAGACAACTCTGCAATGGATGATTAAACCTTTGTGTGTGTTCGTGCTCGTGTAGGATGCTTGGGTGGGGCTTAAACATCAGAGGAAAATTGATCTAGGTCCTGAAACCTTACTCATCATCCAATGCTAGAAAACAGATGCCAAAATGTCATGCGAAGAACTGAATTGTGTCTTCTGCTTTTCCTTAACTCAAATCTGATGTGGTTTACTTCTGCCTGCTGGAAGGAGATTGACATCTCCTCCTTTTACTTTTTTGTCTGATGATGATTGGTTTTCCACTGTGTTTGGGTGAGGTTCTGACCCTTTCCTTTCAGGGCCTAGGCTAATTTGACAAGAACTCGAGCTTTTGTCCAATTCTAGGAACTCATTTGAAATTTGGGCACGGCGCTCCTTCATGAAGTTAAGCCGGTTTGTTAGCTTTGACAGTGCAGAAGAAGCATTAGCTCCCTGCTTATTAATGATGATGGACTTGTTAGCTCGGACGTATTTTGATTTTTTATGCTTTTCACTTAATTCTTAATTTTATATTTTTCCTTTTTTCTTCAAAACAATAACACAGCAGAACACTTGATAGTATACCTCGTTTCTTGAACCAAATTTTCTTGAGGTTGTCGTTGAAGCTGCCCTACCCATTATCGCCGGTTCAACCGCGTTTTGAACCGCAGAA